TATTATTATATATATAATTTTTAATTTAATTAATAAAATTTAATTACCAACCGAGTTTTGAATTTTGAAAATTAAAACCTGAAAATTGAATTGGCTCATAGTTAATACATGAGTTGTGAATTTTTCCCATATAATTAATAGTTGCTCAATGCCCGTTCATTAGTTGAATGACCATTTAATTGTGTTAGTTCACTACACTTATCTTGACCCATTTTGTGCTAGCCCTAATGTTTTTATATATGTATCTTGCTTTGAGAGAAAATGTGTGTTGCAATTTGAATTGAAATGCAACCGTTATTTCAATGTCATTAGAATTCGTGATCTAAATTGCTTCCTTCTTCTTCTTTGTAATATTGCATCTGTCATTCTCTCTTTGAAGGACTTGTATTTGCACAAGTGTACTCCTAACAAACTTTAATTATTTGAGATATTTTTCAGTTTTAAAATGGATCTTTCAAAGGATCCCGATGACAATTTAGACGTGTTTGACAAACCTGTGCAAGACATTGTTAATTGTGATGAAACGATGTCTGAAACATATAATGCCATAATTTTGGTTAATTCCATGTCGACACTTATAAAGAGGTAAAAATGCAATTAAGTATGATTTGAGTATTTTAACACCTTAGATTGTCATAGATTTCCGTAAGACTAACTTGATGAAAATTAAAGCTAAAAAATTAGTAGTGAGATTCACATGATGAGGAGTAGAACACAGCTTAAGCAAAACAGTCATGAAGGAAATCAAGACAGTGGTGACTCGAGTGATAAATGTGATAAATAGAATGGTAGAAGTTGGGATATATCTAAGCCGAGAACAAATTGTAAGAGATAATTGCAGCAGTGGTAAGTTTGGATATTTTATAAGATATTGTCCCAAAAAGAAAAGTAAACAGAAAGAAAAGGTGAGGTGAGACTAAAGTTGCCACTGGGTGTAGATATGATCTGAGTGAGGTTTATTGATGATAAACTCTCCTGTGGTTACTACCGCATTTGCATGTGTGAGATTCCATTTGCATGAATGATTGTTTGATTCTGGTACATTGTTTATGTTACATTATGTTCGGTGTGTATATTTGTATGAATTTAAGAGTGATCATGTTATTGTGTGTAACGTGTTGCATGCATAGTGGTTGGGTTTGCTATTGTGAGATTTGAGACTTGGTGTGTTATCACTTTAATAGGTGCATTAACAGTAAGTGTGTCAATTGGTAATATGGATTATAGATGTCTTAGGGTACATTGGTAACATGTACGAGGGATGTGTAGGATTGGCAGTTAGATCACAAGAGGTGAGGAGAGATGATGTGATTAAATATATTGGAATCCTCTATCTATTAGAATGTTGATCGAGTAAAGTGAAAGAGTGACACTCCTATCACCTCTATTAGGTGAAGATCAATTATTTATCTAGTTTGAGAGATGTGAAATAGCGATAGAGGAACATCCCTAGGTTATTGCAAAAATTTCAATAAACTTATATTTTTATCTTCATAGTTCACTAAGAAATAGATGAATTCGGAGATGCAAATGTCAGTCTCCAGAAGTTTATTGCAAAAATCGTCTTAAAATTATTACATTAATATAAAGAGGTAACTACTTAGAACTTTAATTATTTGTTTGATAGGAAACTAACATGAGTGATATCCTTCTCATGGTGGGTTGAAGTGATCTTA